TTTGGCGCCAGCTATTACCCAGCCAGCAACAGTTAGTAGGGTAAAGGCACCAGCCAGCAGCATAGTTAATCCAAGCACATGTATGCTGACTGTGAGGGCACCAGCTAGAGGTAATGGTTGATCCAACCATACTTTCAGCTAACTGAACCATACCTCTGGCTTGTGCAACTACTCTAATATCTGGAACCAAAATCAGATATGAGTGTAGTTAGGAATGTGATACTTTTTGGCATGAAGCCTTTTTGTTTTATTAAACAGCAGTTGCTTTTCAAAACTCGAAAACGCCTTCACTGTAAAATCATTAATTTTAAAGGGGATTCTGTGATCTTGCATTAATTCTTAAAGAATATTGCTCTTTATTAATACATGAAAATGCGTCAGGTATATTAAAGTAATTAAATATTCAACCAAACATTCTACGAGTAGACATCTGATGTTATCATTCTATTTTTCCATTCTGCGTTTGAATTCTGCTGGTGTCGTCGGAGTATAATTTTATAAGGGAATGAATGTCGATGTTTTGCGGTAATGAAGGTACTATGTTAACGCGCTCTCTGGGTAGTCCTTGACAATGAACAGGAAACCGAAAGTCTGCTCCCGACGGGCACAGCTGACAGTGGCAGAGAAATTAAGGCGAGAAAAAATTATTAGCTGCATTTACGCACTAATCTGCGGCACTTGGTGACACAGCAAAAACGAGTTATGATGCGAAAAAATCTGGACTTGATATTAGTGACTGCACCGCCGCGCCGCCGGACAAATGCAGGTGAAAAATAGACATTAGGATACGCCCCGACCTAAACGCAGTTTACGATTGTTACACTGTTTACCAAGACCTAATCGCAACTTAATATTGATCTAATTTCAGCTTACAGAAACCGACCCAAATCCAATTGAAATTGAATTGCCCGAGGGCGCTGTCAAATCCAATTGGATTCAAATCTAGATTAAAAGCGAGATTGGAGGATTGACTCTACTGAGGATCGATACTACTGAAAAGGAGTCGGTTGGAATTCCGTGCGACGAGAAAACAAATTAGCAATTTTTCCAGTCACTGATCTTAATAAGCACGTTTTGCAGTTCTACCCTTCATTAGTGCTTTAAATTTGCCCCTTTCAAAGACAAAGCTGGAAAATTAGAAAGGTTAGGCCATAAGAATGCAACTGATTCAAAAAAATTTCGGAAATTTTGAGTGCATAACGCATATTGTATGAGGCGCTTCGCGCGCTACGCGTTACGTGTTTCTCTTGTGATTTATATTATTGAGAATGATTAGATCTCTGTCAGCAAAAATTCAGGTTAGGTTTTTGTAAATATCCTCTAATACATTTTTATATGAATTGTGATCAAGAAGAAATTTCTTGGGGAGGAAATAATGAATTCGATTCTTGCGAGTATGTACATACATACATTAAAATCACTTTCACAGCGCACCCGGGCGCTCTGCGACGCCTAATCGCCGGATGCAATGTGAAAAAAAGGAGACAAAGTACCGCAACGTTCATTCTAGCCCCTGGATACAACTATTCGAACTCTTCGGATGTGCGGGTTGCTACCAATAATTGAAGGCGTTTCAATTTTCCTCATGCCCTCGACGACTAGTTCGACGATACTTTCTGCTGCTATTGAAGCGTGCAACGAATAAAAGACCTAACAGTAAGGCATGTACAACTTATTACATTACTGGGGGGTACGCCTTCTGACCGCTTTGCAATCCAACCCCGAAAGGAGCTTTGCGCCTGAAGTGTGATTATGATTACGCCAAATGATTTTATTTCATAGAGTATAATATGATGTTAAAGAATAAAAAATAGTTTTGAATTAATGTTTGCAACCAGTGGAGCCGGTTTTAGTTTTCAAAATTTTACAACATTCCTCTTTTCCTGAAAATTATTTGGAATTTTTAAAAGCTGGAGCTGCTTCCACGAGGCCAAGTTTCCATGCTCTCCCACACGGAAAAATGGCTAGGTTCACATGCCTAGAAAGATAGATTAAATGGCATCTCCAAAGTTCCGGATAGGTACCAGCCTTGACGATTAGAGTCTAGTCCTACAAATGTTATGGTACCTACTGAAAAATTCGATGATGCATTTCAGACACCCAGCCCTTGAGCCGTTTTTCGGTGTAATATAGGTGTTCTTCTGTACATGAATGTCTCGAAAAAGATTTTCTGCTTTCAACATAAACTTCATTTCCTGCAATTGAGGACTACTTCGGTAAAAGGTTGTATGAGGCTTCCAATACCGGTGAGATTGTGTGACGTAGCTCTTTTATTGCAAGTAGCTTATCCGAAAGCTCTGTCATGCATTTTCCACTGGATCTTTTTTTGGCGCGTATACGTAGTATACCGCCTTTGCGATCGTTTCGACCCCCCCCCCTCGATACAATAACCGAGTCCCCTAGTTCCTTACTGAAAAGTGACTACCGCGAACTTCTGAGATTTTCCAAAGCGTGTAAAAAGTTTACTAATCCGTCAATAATAATGATTAAAATTTGTTTCTCATTCTGGGGCTCGCTAGTTTATGTGTAATGAATACCAAGAGTCTACGTTTCTTGGTTTTTTTT